AAATAAGAGAATATTACTCACATTTACCAGAGCAGACAAACTGCTCTATGAATAGGGCGCGTGTGGAATAATCCCAACCTAAGGATTTCTTGAGTAGCAAAAAAATCCATGATAATGTTCCATTCCCCAAAAATTGACAAACGACAGTGCTATTAGTGGTTAGGAAATCATCTGAGCAGTGAAAGAGAGATCTGTGACTTCTATGGTAACGATATCTCCTCTGTAGCCTCCGGGCCTTTGTTCTCCAGTGTGGGCTTACTTTGATAATATGTTTGCCCTTTTCTCCATTTCTCTTTCTAGAATTTTTTATTTTTGTTATCCTTTAATGCTATCCTTTTCCTCTTACTTTTCATCATATAACGCATCACATTACTTAATTTTTCTTTTCTCTAAAATCAAGAAAATCAAGCCGACAAATAGTGAAATGCTGCAGAATATTCTAATATCATTTCTATTTTATTTCCATGTCTTAGAACTAGTTATTATCTACAATACTCTATTACTCTCTTACTTTGAATCCTTGCTATCTTGATTACTAAGCTCTAGAGACGTGCACAGACAAAAAATGTGTTTAGTTCCAATTTGTTAATTTTCAAATATCCTTAAGTCTGAAATGTATCATGGATTGATTTGGAACAAAATGATCAAATCCAATGCTCTCCAATCTGAGGCGGGCCGGGAACTAAATATCTATTCCAGCACTGTTGTGTTACTTTGTGTTGCCTGATTTTTAGAGGATATTTTTGTTATATAGTTCTATGTGAATATATTTGACATCTTTTTTTTAAACTTATTATATTGTATAACATATGTATCCACAAGTTTTACTTGTAAAATTGTATAAAAAAATTACGTACACTGATCAGCCACAACATTAAAACCACTGACAGGTGAAGAGGTTTTGCCTTGTGGCAGGTGAGCTTACACTTTAATGGCTATTACAGAGATACTAAAAAACCTCCAGTTATTTAAAGGTGCGTAGGGATTTTGGATAGTGCGCAAGTAACTTTAAAAAGAAAAAGGCCAATGAGTACTTTATTCATTGCTGCTGCCCAGTAGTAGTGGGAGTTTGAGCACATGGCTTAATTCTGTGTGCAGTGGTTAGTACCTACCAAAAGCGGTGCAAGGAAGGACAACTAGTGAACTGGTGGCACGGTCTTGGATGACCAAGGTTCATTGATGCACAGCTGAAATTCCTAAAAAAAACAAACCTAAATTTTGGGCATGATAGAAGGGTTTCAGAAGACACAGTGCATCACAGCTTGCTGAGTATGGGGCTGTGTAGCTGGAGACCAGTCAGAATACCCACGGTTTTAATGTTGTTTTTACTTTATTATTATTTTATATATTTAAGATATATCATTGATGGAACAATAATAATAGATAGTCCAGGGTATTATTCACTATACTGTAATGTTTTAATTAAATTAAAATAAAATGTTAATTTCATTAAAAACTCACAATTTATGGGGGCAGGCCTGACTGCTGAGCGGAGGGGAGACGGCCGCTCTCCAGCTACCACTGATGGATGGTGATACAAATTTTGGCCCTCGTTTCCTGCCCCTCTGGATAGGTGTGGGTTATCCAGGCCTCAGGCGAACATCTCCATGTCCTGTGGCAGCCACCCCAGCAGAAGCACATCACACCTTCAATGGCGGAGGTGAAAGGCACAGCCAGAATCTACCGTAGCTAAACGCCGTCCTGAAACACATGAAATTAAGGCAAAGGGGCACATCGATACCTCATTCATTGACCAGTGTCAGTGTGAAGGATCCCGCTGAGCTCCTGGCTTCTGACATGGTGTACAGGCAAGACCATGCACGTGGTTCCTCCTTGCTTGACTTCACCACCCCTGCTGGCTTATGGCACCCTTCTTCTCTTAACCATGCTTTTGAGGGAGAACGAAATCAGGTGCGGCAAAACCACTCGGATGAATACTCGCCTCTCTTTTCTCACGACAGTGAAGACATATTGCTGAATCTTTGCTCTAATATTGTTATTATTTGCTTTCTAAGTCTTGCACTATGTTCCTCTTCCTGTGTTTAAAAAAAAATGCTAATTTCACATGTACACACATACTGATGGAAATGCTTCCTTGTAGCGCTGATTATTCTATGACTGTACTTGAAGTGCAAGTTGATATAAACTTGCACTTCAAAAATAAAAGATGTAGGAGAAAATCATATATTAGACAGCCCGAGATATAAACTTTTAACTTTTTTTTTTTAACCAATCTTAACTTCTCTCTTTGGATTAATATAAATTGTTGTTAACCTTTGCAAAAAAAAAAATCATAAAACAAAATACTTATAAAATAGTTTTGTCACATTAAAACTTACATTCATAGATGAACAGTGACTCCTTGTGGTTACATTGGAGAATGTTTTAAAAAATTACATTAAAATGGAAAGATCATTAAAATGTCAAGGACTTCCCACATACTGTTGGATTCGTCCTTGAACTCCTACCATTTATCATAATTAGTACGTTCTAGTTTGAATTAGCGGCATTTATTCACAAAGAAATTAAGTATATATCAATACAAGACTGTTGGTGAAAAGTAGGACTGTATAATTTTGCTATAATTGATATGTGAGTTGAGTAACCAATTGTCTGCTATATGCTAATGTTGATCAATACAGTGGAACCTCGGAACTCAAATGGTCCCGTTCTCGAACAATTCGGAAGTCGAACAAAAAATTTGAGTAAAAAAAGTCTCGGTACGCGAATGATCTTTGGTACCCGAACAAATCATGCCACAAACATGTTCAATTAGACACACTTTAGACACATTTTAAATGCCAGAAGAACAGTTACGCATCCCCATTCAAACAATAATATCTCTTCTCTTTTCCACTTATGCCATCAACTCTCATCATTACAGGTAAAGTGAAGTTACATTTTCATTTCATTTACTGTACATTGTGTTTATTATTATTTTCCTATATGTTTTTTATGCATGAAATGCATTATTATACTACAAAATTTGTGTTAAAATGCTGTAATTTTGGGGGTCTGGAACTGATTAATCAAATTTACATTAATTCTTATGGGAAATATTGATTAGGTTTTCGAACAAATCGGAACTCGAACAGCCTTCTGGAATTAAGTTTCGAGATAGTATAGATTACTCATATCTGTGGATGGCTGTGAATTATGGAAATTAAATA